GTTTGTTGACGTGTCAACGTTGTGAGCGATCACAACCTTGAGAGAAAGTGATGTGTGAAGGGTGTGATTGGAGACATACACCTGCCTCAAAGTGATGCCGTTTGCTGCAGCAAGGCTCTGGGGTACCAAGTTCAAAGTCCGCACTAAGTGAACGCTTCACGCTACGTAGTCTCCTGCAGCAAGAGCCGTGTCCACAAACTAACCAAAACCTTGCAGCACCTAACTCTTGGAGATCTGTCCTGTCCATGTTGGAGCAGTTGCTACAAGACCTACCCTGCTTCAAAACTGCTGCGATTCCAAGGTTCAACAAAGTAAGCGCGCAAAGTAACAAAACACATCCAACCTTCAGCAATTCAAGCATACTACGACGTGTTTATCTGCGTTTCTGCATGCGTGCAGTGAAATACATTTGAGGAATGACCTTCCCCATGAGAGGCTGCCCTGGGTCGAACTTTATAAGGGCATCAAATTCACCTTGACTCCTTACAGAAAGCCAAGGCAAGGGTGGAACCGGATCCGGAACTTTGTCCACATTACACAAATCCATCAAATACTTCACAGTACGCTCCGTGCTCTCATTGTCTTCCGTTTGGAGGAGAAGAGCAGCTAATTGCATAAGTTTCTGTCTTCGTTCTTTGTCGAAAACTTTCAAGGGCCTTGCCTCCTCAGGGATATCCCCCAGCAAGTCCATGAACTCACACGCAAACACCACCACTGGGTCCTGGCAAGGGTGCTCTTGAGATGATCCAAGAGTTGTAACACAGCAACATTACAGCAGCTAAGAAGTTCCTGACTCAAAGAATCATCTGCAGCATATCGCTTCACACAACATACAACATCGTTTGGAGATTCAGCCCAGTGATGTCTTCCAGGGCCGTGCGTGACAATGGTCATGGTGGCCGCAGGGATGTCTGGCCAAAAAGCTTGCACACAACATGTAAGCCTTCATGCACATGGCAGAGATTGACACAGAGATTGCTGTAGGCCTTTGCGACGCATGAAAAGAAATGCGTGGGCCCCAGAACTATCGTCTTTCAATGCCCCGCTGAAGGTCACGGGCGCACGTTCCAACCTCAAAAACATCATGGCGCAAAGGCTCTGAATGGTGGAACTTACAATACAATTTGTGAGAGCAAGCAACCATGTTTTCCATGGTCTTGTGGTCGTCAGCTCCTCAACAACCACCTCTGCGTTCCCAAGCCAAGCCTGTATATTGATCTTGCCACACAAATAACGCAACTTCCTTAGTACACTGTGCACCCACCAGCCCAGGAACATGACAACACTCACTAATGAACATGACTTCCAAGGTTCGCTACTATATCTTGTGGATCCGCTAGGCAGTCGACCCATCTCATTGATCTTGACAGAAGGCCGAATATTTGGTCTGAGGCAGAAGTGAGAGGAGGTATTCCAAAAGAAGGTTGTAAATTTCATACAGCGTAAATCCATCGTTAAAACAAGGAACCAAGTGTCCCATGAGTATGTCCAACTCGATGGAACAATATCCCAGTCAGTTCAAGACCTTTCTGCAACAGCATCCATGATAAGAGCTTGATGATCGTTGAGTTCTTGTTTTCGCGGACACAGTTGTCTGCCTGGGATGTGTTACGATCAGAGGAACCTGGGCGAAGCCTCACAAGAAACCATCTAGTAGCACAACAAACCGTAAAACAAAATGTCTTTGAATTCACCTAGCTACAATGAGCAGAACTTTGCGCGGCATCTTGTCTTTCAAGATGGTTTGAACATATTCTAGCGACTTGGCCAGTGACTCAGCCACCATCGAACCGTCACTTGGTTGTCGCACCTCCACAACATGCAGAAACAGGGCCACCTGGTGGCACCAAACGCCCTGTATCTTTACTCGAGGTCGGTCTAATTTCTGCATGGACTTTGTCAATACTCCGTGGCGAAGTCGGGGTAAAGCCCATTTGGACTGATCCATTCCATCCTGAGGTGAAACCAAACCACCCACAACTTTGCAACCCTCCTACTGCAAAGTGGCAGCACCCTTCTGACAAGAATCGGTTGTTATGAGGATCGTGTCGCCGCTGTGACAGGGATCCATCGCCTGAACATAAACAGTGGTGCAAGGACAAAGCAGGAATTCAACGCATGCATTGGTCTTGCATTGGTCTTGAAGAAATGCACCATGATGCCTGCAAAAAGCTTTCTAGTCGACGATCTGCTGCTACTGCCGCCAGGTGATCCCGATATTGTTTGGCAATTTCAAACCTGTCAACCGGGTCCTGACAGTGACAGCGCAAGGAAGAGCATTACCTTACCTGAATTGGGCCTTACCTTACCATTTCTGAAAACTGAATCTCTTGAACATTTGCTTGATTTTCAACAAAGTGGCTGAATTTTCTTCAAACGCTGTCTTGTAGCATGTGCAATCATCACAGGCTGGAAAGCCAGTGGGGTTTGAAAACCTGAGCAAGTTTGCCCACTTCTGCTTGAACCTCCTGACAAAGTGGCAGTACCTTAGACGTGGAGGCTGGACCCTTTGTCGCTTTGTAGCCTTCATCTTTTGAGCAGCCACTTCTAGCAAACAAGCTACGACACGTTGAGGTTGCTGCCAACATGAAGAAGTTTCAAGTTGCCCGGAGGGAGGTGTCTTGTGGGGAGCTGGGCGACATTCTGGTGGAAATTGGTCTCCACTATCCTAGGCAAACATAAAAAAGTGACCTCGATCATGGAAAAGTAACCTCCAAAACTCAATCACATGGCATACCATGGTTTGAATGATGATTCAAACAGACACAATGCCATGGCTCTGGCTCCAGATCGCTTTGAACCCCAAGACATGAAGCTTCAACTCCATGTCTGATTCTTTGTTCTCCTCCGGCACCTCCCAGTCCTCGTCGTCATCTTCATTAGGGCACATGGCATCTTGGTCTTAGCCACCAATGAACTACACCAACCCTTTTCCAGCTCCATA